CTCAAGATAACTTAAGCTCCCCTTTAGCCTGCTTTAGGTAACTTTAGCTCCCCTTCAGCTCGCTCTATACAACTTTAGCTCCCCTTCAGCTCGCTCTATACAACTTTAGCTTCCTTTAGCTTGCTGTAAGTAACTTTAGCTCCCCTTCAGCTTGCTTTAGGTAACTTAAGCTCCCCTTCAGCTCGCTTTAGATAACATAAGCTCCCCTTTAGCTTGCTGTAAGTAACTTTAAAGTAATGAACTGTTATATTTTTTGATTTTACATCGGGTTGAGTTTTGAATCAGAGCTCCGGCTTTTGGCGCCCTTTTTTAAATTTTATGATCAACCCACTCCCTCTCCGGCTTGAATGAGCTAGCAGTCGATCCAGTTTTTTTTAACTCAGTAACGTTTTTTTGCACGTTACAGCCGCCCGTGACCCGACACGAGTTTTCGCTCGGACGCCTGCGAGGTAGGCCGCCCGCTACCACATGTCGCCTTGACACGAGTTGACGAAATGAGTTCGTCTATAGTCGGGTCAGTTTAAGCTGACTCAGGCCCTGTCGGCTTTAGCTTCAATCCTGTAGCTACAAACAGGGACGTCCGGGAGAGCAGCAGACGCGGAACAGGCGCCCGGGAGGTAGGCAGCACGCCGAGCGGGGAGTCGGAGGGACTGCCTACCCCGGTGGTGGCGGGCGGAGTGGGTCTGTTGGGTCCGTTGCTGTTGGCAGGAGACGTACATCTGTTAGGGGACCGGATACAGGAGCCGATCTTTCGACGATGCTTGGAAGAATCGAGCACACGCCTTCTAAGAGAGACAACAACTTGAGTGGAGGGGGGTCAAACGAAGAAACTGGGTGTTTTCCTTTCAGTTTCCCCGATTAACATAACAAAATTTAATTTTCTCATGATTTAGCGTTGATGCAGAAGTTTTCAGGTCCAAATGTGATTGTGAACGCTTTATCAACAAACCAAACCATAACCCCATCGTGGGCCCGCTAAGACAGCAAAGTGCATATAATAAGAAAAATAGGGATTTTTCTTTGAACTTGTGGAGTCAGAAGAGTCAACTAATAAGTTTAGCTTGGGCACTTATAATTATTTCACTTCAACATAGACAGAAACATGCCAATAAGTTGAAAAATAGTAGCTCTCCTGTCGCGACCCGGGTCGTCTGCTGTTGTCTTTACCGCACTCTTCCCCTCCGCCGCCCCTGTCCTTACCGCACCCTTCCCCTCAACCACCCCCCAGCCAGCCCCCCACCTATGGATACTGCCGAGCATCGTCGAAAACAACGGGTTCAGATAGACAGTTTTGAAACTTTATTTACATCAAATTTATTGATGACAATTGGACTTTAAGCTGCATGTGCCCCAGCATTCATCTTCTCTGAACTAGAAAATCCTGGTGGCTTTGAAATCCAAGCAACCAATTTTCATGTATTTGGAACTTTATTTCGGCCTGTAACACCCCGCTGAGTCCCCCTTTCTAGTCCCCCTCAACTCTATGTCTCCTGCTGTTGGGAGGGCGACACGGCGGCAGGCCGACAACCGGACGCACTTCTGAGACGGATGGGTGGCGCGCCAACCCGGCGCCCGCGCAGCGTGCGCAGCTCCCACCTGACCACGACCGTATCGTTTAAAAAGATGATGATGTTTCAGGAATGCTCGCTTATACTTCTACTTCATGCTTAACCTTCGCAGACGCACGCAGTGCAGCAGGGCAGGGGCTGTAGACAAATCCTCTGAAAATGCAGTTTGAAGAGAATACAACCAACCAACGACCAGCGCCATAGAGCGTGCGGGCAGGGCGTCAACCGAGTCAACCGCCTCGCCCACCTGTTGATGTCAACAGCCACCTGTTGATGTCAACAGTCAACACGTGGCAGGTGACGCCGGCCGGCAGCAAACACGTGCGCCAGTGACGGCTCACCAACGGGCACGCTTCGCCTCACAGCTTTAATTCAACAGGCTGGCATACAATGTCGGTACTCGCCGGCGGAAGGAGAAGGGAGGGAGCGGTGGGGGAGGGGGGGGGGCGGAGGTGGAGAGGTGCGGTACAGATTGCGATTCGCGGGAAGAAGCACCTCCCGTCGCGCTCGGCGCGGTTCGGCTCGGATCAGCAGCCCGGCCGGTCCGCTCGGCGCCGACACATCCCCGCTGGACTAATCTGGTTTCAGTCGGTTCTCCGCGGGGCCGACGGGCGGGTGCGGGTGGCGCGGGTGGCGCGGGGGGGGGGGGGGCAGACTGCGGCCATAGCCCCGGCCTAGTGCGCCGGGAGACGAGACGCGAGCGCAGCGCGGAGCTTAGACGCAGCCGAGGCGAGCTCCGCGGCAACCGTGGCGGCTGAGTCGCGGCTGTTTCGCCTAAGCTCGGGAACCCCCGACGAGGAGCGTCCGTTTATCCGAAAACGAGAATATTCAACAACGACCAACCGACCTTTACATGACAATCTAGTCATGCGTATAGGTAAAAGGGGCCAGGTTGGCCGTTTTCTCTACCGACTCCTCACACGTTATGAATTTGGTCTGCGCTGCGGCGTGGACTTCCCTCTTTCCTTCCGATCTGCGGGTTGAGCGGAATGAGCTGGAGGCAGGCCGTCCTGCATAGCGACGGGCCAAGCAGAGCTTTTAGAGGGTTGGGAGACGGAACGATGGGGGGGGGGGGCAAAGTGGAAAAGTGACGACTGCCTGACAGCTGGCAGAGCCGCCGACGGCGCGCCGGGCCCAAGCCGGCCGGCGCACGCAACTAGTGGCGCCCGCCCTCACGACACTCTGGACGCCACTCTGCGGGGGCGGCTGCCGCGGCTCTCGGGGAGGGCGAAAACTGGTATTTAAACATAAACACGTATTTTTAAAAAAATAGTAAGGAAAAATAAACAGGTACCACTTACGAAAGTTTTCAACATTTTCCAAAAATTTTAGAGGGGCGCTTTGTCTCCTTGTTCTTTTTTTAAAGTCATCCTCTGTATCAGCGGCACCTCCTCATCCCCGACCTCCGATCCGAGGTGACCTGGCCAGCCCCGGGCCGAACCGGCCAACCTTGCACGTCACTCCCCTGGAGGCGGGCTGCTTAGTGAGGTGCCGCTGCACAAAGAGGGTGGGCCGGCCATGAGCCGGAAACCACAGGGCAGACGTTGGGTGTTATTAACCAGAGAGGGGTTTCGGCGGAGGTGGATGCCTCGCGTCTTTGTTGATGGCGGTGACGTCACGATGGCGCACGTGTTGTTCATTATTGGTCACACGTGGCGTTTTGTTGGGGGTGCTGTGGGATTCCCTTGGAGGAGGACGACCACGGATCTGGGCCGGCATCGGGTGAGGCGCGCAGAGCAGTGAAACAAAGCGCTGTTATGTAGATGGTTGTTAGCGTGACGGCGTGACGCACCGGACTACGTTTGGATAAATATCCTCGGCCCCACCTTTCTCTGTCTCAGTCTCTTTCGCTCTCGGCTCTACTAAGATACGGGCCGAAAGAGACGCAGGGAGGAAGGAGGAGAAGGGTGGGGGTTTCAGGTGACGCCCGTCGAAGTGAATGCGGGCTCTCCCTGGTTTGTGTGCACGGTGTGACACCTCATCGACGGCGTCTCAGAAAAGGATAATGAGCTATGAGCTGCTTTGCTAGTGTGCAATAGGAATAATAAAAACTAGGCGTGTGAGGCAAAAGGAAGTGGGGCTGGGGTAGTGGAAGGGGGCAGGTCCTGTCCTGTTGCAAGCCCTTCGTGATTGAGTACCCAGGACCACAAACAGCGAACGAGACTCCGTCTTACTGTGACTTGTAGGAATAACCATAGTCGCGGGGGCTGTCCAGGCGCTGCTAATGTTTTACACAAACTGGCCCCGTTTGTGCTCACGAGGTCCTGGTAGGTCGGGCTCCTGTTAATGCTGCCCCGTCTTCCGCCGGCCGTAACACTTCTTGTCCTCCTCTATCCAGTTCTGCCCGGTTCCAAATAATGACCTCTAACTACCCGGCCGGCGCGACTCAGGCCGAGCCCGGCCCACGGCCCGGCCGGAGAACGCCGGTAGTCGGTTTCCTCCCGACATGAGGGAAGGCCAGCGCTCTGGCTGCGGCGCTGGCGGAGGAGCAGCGCTGGGCGGCCACTGATTACCTAGATGCGGTAGGCTTGGGCTCCGCGCGCGGGGGAAGCAGGGGTGCGAGGGGGAGGGGGGACGCGCCCTTGACAATGAAACATTTGTCACCTTCCGCGGCCGGCCGACGTGAGCTCGCGCCCATCAAAAGTCGTCAGGGAAGAGCGGCGCGTGCGTGACCGCGAGCACGTCGGGTAGTGGACCCCGAGGGGCACTTCACTATAAAGTCAAGCGGTTTTAC